GGGGACCGTATAAGGAATATATATATATATATATATATATATCCTCAGAATAGATAGCTAATTGCAGGTAATTATATTCTTATAATTAGCCATTAAGAGCTTTAGGGCAGCAATTTTGAAATATTGTCACATACATTCAAGACCATAAATTAGCAAAACATGCACATAATAACATAAAGAAATTAACCCTATATAATTTCTTCCCTCTTCTTTTCCATGTTAGTGTGTTTCTTTGAACCGACACATTTATCTGTATTTCAAGATGCTCAACTACATGCATATGGAGTGTGACACTTGTTGGTTTGTTCTGACCTAAGTATTTATTTTTTCTTTTCTCTTTTAAAGCCTCATCACTGGCTAATTTGGTGGTCCATAAAGTACTTTAATTAAAGAGTTTTGGTAGTGAAGTATTTAACACATACAACCAACTTTTTTGGATCGTGTGCCGTGAGGTGAAATATACATCCGCATAGTTTAATTTGTTTTGCCGGCATTGGTGATCTGCAATTTAGGATACCTCAGGATATTGCTTTACCAGCAGCATAATGTAAAATATATCAAACAAGGAACATAATTAATTTAATGAGACTTTTACGGCAGGAAATTTGAATTATTAAATTTGTGTTAAGTTCTGTCAGTTTTAAATATTTTTTTATTTTGATGTGATTTTAACTAGATCTAAACATTAAATAAAACAGAAAGCTTGTAAAGTAAAGGACAAATGGTATTTTCCTTTATGTCTACCGAAATATTATTCTCCACCCCCCGCAATTTGAAGCATTTTCTTGCTTTTAGCTCTACCGAAATATTATTCTAAGAACATATGCTAGTGATTCACATCATGCTAGCAATGAAAATGCAAACTTAATTGGTAACGAATTATTATTAACTAATAATTTTCAGGCCCTTTTATCTTTCTTTGAATCTTTGTGCAGTTTCATTTCCTAGTGTAGTGAACAATCATATCAATATTTCCAACAAAAACATGCTTTTAGCTCTACCGAAATATTATTCTAAGAACATATGCTAGTGATTCACATCATGCTAGCAATGAAAATGCAAACTTAATTGGTAACGAATTATTATTAACTAATAATTTTCAGGCCCTTTTATCTTTCTTTGAATCTTTGTGCAGTTTCATTTCCTAGTGTAGTGAACAATCATATCAATATTTCCAACAAAAACATAAACGATTATATGGTTGGTCATCAATGGACAATCAAGTAGGAAATATACTATATTCCTCCCTATGCAACCGCAAGCGGCCAAGAAATTCTCGGAGGAGTGAATTTTGCATCCGCTGCTGCTGGAATTAGAGAGGAAACCGGCCGTCAACTGGTAATTTAACAATTAAATACTCTCATAATACAATCTCAATAACAATATATCTAAGCCATCTACTATTAATGCAAAAGAGGTAGTCAAACAATTTACAAAAATACTCCTATGATGTGGTAAAAATATCATTATTCTTAAGAATTTTCAATAGGGTGTTGAAGATAACATCTTGCACCATGCAATTGTTTTTATAAAATATAAAGTAATCACATGATAGACACACTTAAAAATTTCAAATGGATTTTATGATTACGACTAAAAACAGCTAAAAATACAAAGTTCAAGAACTAACTGAATGAATTAAAACGTTTAGAGACCAAACCATCATTATACTAGTTGTGTAGAAACTTTTGACACCAAAAGCCAAAATCTCTATAAAAACAATTTCTTTCCTAATCATCCTTTTTCTATTTTAGCACAAAAATAATTAATTGCGAAATTCCATGTAGCCATATTCCTACTCAAAACCTATTTCTCTTAAGTTGTTATGTGTCTGTAGCTCCCAATTTTTTTGAAAAAGAGAGAGTTAAAAGAGAAGTGTTTTAGCATATAAAAAAGTCGACACATTCGAAACGGGATTAAAACTCCATGCGGAGGACAACTAGAATTAGTGCACTAATGAAAATTAAATAGATTATTTGGTTTGCTAAAGTTGTAGTATGAAAACTAGCTAGCTAAATAAAGATTATATATCAAACTCTTGTAGGGGGGTCGGATCACATTTAGAGGGCAGGTAGAGAACTACAGGAACACAGTTTCTCAAGTAGTGGAGTTGCTTGGAGACGAGGACACAGCAGCCAATTACCTTAGCAAATGCATCTTCTCAATCGGACTTGGCAGTAACGATTACCTCAACAACTATTTCATGCCTCAGTTTTACAACACCGGCAATCAATACACGCCTGAAGAATATGCTACTGATCTCATTCAACGTTATACTCAACAACTGAGGGTCAGTCTCTCTCTCTCTCTCTCTCTTTATATATATATATATATATATATATATGAATATATATGTTGATACTTGATATTAAGCAACAAATTCCTTTTTTATACCAGATAATGTTATAACAATAAGTAACTTGTCCTTTAATCCATTCTCAGATAAATAGTACATTTTATTTGTTAGAAGATAACATGTTATATTAATTAATATCGTTTGGTACTAGAGTTTGATATATCACTTAATATTCTCTAATTTCGCATACGCTTATTGCTAAACAGAGGAGCAGATTTCTAATTTCCCATTTCCCATTTATTATATATTTTTTTTCTTTTTTAGACCCTGCATTTTGTGATAATCAAGAAATCATATCTTACGTTTCGGACAGCACACACTTATATCTTCAGATTTGTTATTCTTGTGAAATCCTTTATTTTCAATCAAATGTTGGTTTTGAATATGAAAAAGACCTACATGTCCTTCACATTTTGGAATTTTTATTGTTTTCTTATTCTTATTATTTTTTGTTTAAGTACATTTAGGGTCTTTGGTAATGGTCGAAATAGACTATTGATCGAGAAAATATAAGAATCGAGCATAAATTTAAAATGTAAATGTAACATGAATACAGGGTATAAAAATGTTTTTTAAAAAAGCCATTATATTTTATTTTGTCAAATAGGGTTCCACCAGGCTTGTCGTTTAGTTGGCAATTGAATGCTACGAGCTACTTCCACATTTAAGTGTAATAAAACTTATTAAGTGACATAGCTTCCTGGCTTTTATTGCATCTGTTCCCATTAAGATAGGTCCAGATCAAATCACATCAATTCATTAATTTTGATTCAATAAAAAAGTTGATGGTTTAACTTTTTTTTTTTTTTTTTTTTTTTTTTGAGAAAATCTGAGAGGTTTAACATTTGTAGATATAGAAGCTTACACGTTTAACATTTTTGTTAAATAGATTTTGTACAATTATGGAGCAAGGAAGGTGGTCTTGTATGGAATAGGTCAAATAGGCTGCAGCCCAAATCAATTGGCCCAAAATAGCCAAGATGGTAAAACTTGTGTGGAGAAGATCAACTCAGCAAATAGGATATTCAATGCAAGGCTTAAAGGTGTTGTGGACCAATTCAACAACCAATTTACAGATGCAAGATTTATCTACATTGACTCTTATGGAATTTTTCAGGATATAATAGCCAGTCCCTCAACTTATGGTAAGTAGCATTAATCAACACTCTTACAATCAAATTTAACTTCAAAATAATCTTTATATAAACAACACATTGAAACAAACATACCCAAATAAATAAATAAAGAAAAAAAAGAAAGAAACCAATCTTTCAGGATATTTATTGTTGTTGTTTTTTTTTTTTTTAAAGAATTGATAAATTAAGGCATCGTTCGCTTCGCGGATTCGAGTTGAGATGTGATATTTTTTGGAAACTTTTTACTATAACAGAAAAAATTAGATGTGATATTTTTTAAGAGCTCTTAACTGTAAAAATCTAAAACTAAAAAATCAAATAGGTAAAATGAATGAGGCTTAAGATAGCAAGAGTCATGAGTTCAAATCTTAGTTTTAAACATTCATACTATCACATGCACGCATACACATGATAGGCAATCGCAGAGCCACTTTATTATGATTTTTCCGTTTTTGCCCGTATTAAGAATCGGTCTTTATATGTACACTCTACTGTATGTATACGCGTATTAATTATCAAAGTTGTGTTGATGAACGTTTGTGTATTATTGTGGCTGATTTTCAGGATTTAGCAACGTCAATGAGGGTTGCTGTGGTGTGGGTAGGAACAATGGGCAAATTACTTGTCTGCCCCTCCAAACTCCTTGCGCAAACAGAAATGCCTATCTGTTTTGGGATGCATTCCACCCAACCGAGGCTGGGAATGCTGTTGTGGCCAGGAGAGCTTACACTGCTCAGCGCCCATCAGATGCTTACCCAGTTGATATTCGCAGGCTAGCTCAGATTTAGCAATATTAAGTCAATATTCTTGGACAGCATTAATGGCTTTCTCGTGTTTTGTTTTTTTTGTTTTTTTTTTTTGTATGCGTTTCTTTTGGTTTGTTTTACTTATTATTAATTGTTGCAGTTGTTCTTAAGGAAGTGTAGTACTCTAGGTCCCTTGGGATTTAAACTTTCGTAAAATGTAATATTTAGAGCACATCCAAAATTTGGCTTGTGGGAAAGACATAATGAGTATAGTATGATGAGTCTCCATCTCGTGTACCTGCCTCAATAATGACAACTATGTGGCCTGCATATATATAGACAAATTATTGAATATATCATTGAGTAGTTGTATTCAATCACATGTAGCCGTTAACTATTCTTGCACATGCACGATATGCAATTGCATTTAATATATGTGTGCAATTTAGTTCAATATTATTAGTGATACTCAACCTTTCTTGATAAACATATATAGCAACTAAAGTTGCTTGACATTGCAACTAAAATGAGCAATTTAACCTCTTCCCATAAATATGTTCTAAAATAAAAGATGTTGACGGTGAAATTCTACCAACCACAAAGAAACTAAACTTTAAATTCAAAACCAAATTAAAATAGATCAAGATAACAAAAGAAAAATGAAACATAAATTGAAAATAATTAGAAAGTAAAGAAAACTTGGTATGATCTTATTGATAAACTTTAGTACACACTCATCTCGTCCAACTCAATCCACCTAGCTCAACACACTTATTAGCTCACCTAGCTTAGCTCCCCTAGATTGAGCTAGATGATTGAGTGGTAGACATTTAGGCTGCGAAATTTATCAGAACATTTAATATTCCATAACTGTTCTGAGCTAGAGCTAACTTGAACTACGAGCTCCGATATTGTTGATGTGGAATGATGAATTGGACTAGAAATTTATGGCCCTATAGTTAGTTAATTTAAATTTTTAATTCGAGTTGAGATGTGACTTTATATGAGAGTTTTTTTATTATAGTAAAAAAGTTAGATGTGATTGTTTCTAAAATTTTTTTACTGTAATAAAACTTAAATTTTAAACTCAAATCGGTAAAATAAACGAGCGCTTAAGCAGAAAGCAAACATATTTGAGTTGGTACTTTCAAGTACATGCATTAAATTAGTGGTTAGGCCCTCATTGTTATATTACAAAACAACTCAAGAGTATCGAACTTGGTTAGACCGGACAGACTATTAAATTTGCAAGTATCGTGACAAACATACTAATAGAAAAAAAATATTAGCATGTTTCCACAAACATAACGTTGTGCAGAAATACTAAATAACCAAAAAGAAAATATAATTATTTAACGTAAACAAAAACCCAAAAGCACAAAAAAAAAAAAAATCTCGTGCTGATCACACCACTAAAAGTAGAAAGACTTTTTTTAAGCTATAAAAATTAGGGATATTTATATTTTTATACCCCGTGTTTTAAGTTTATTCAAAATCTATACCTTCAATTTTTTATCTCATTAAATGTATACTTTTAAATTAAATTTAATATACAAATCTATACCTCATCTCGGTCAATAATTGATTTTGACCTTTAAAATGACTAAACTATCCTTAAGAAAAAGGGAAAAAACACTAAAATTTTCTAATATTATGATAATTAAAAATTAATAACACAAAAAAAGCTCATTTGAATGGTATTTTATATATTTTAGAGGTTAAAATTGTGAGTTTAAAGTTTTTTTTTTAAGGTTTTTTTTTTTTTTTTTATGTTTTTATTTAAGGGTATTTTAGACATTCTCAATGTTAAAATCGAGGATTGATTCCCTCCATTATAAAGTTTTAATAATAAATTTAATTTGAAAGTATATATTTAATAAGATTAAAAATTAAATGTATAATTTTTAAATAAACACAAAACAGAATGTATAAATTATTACGTTTATGATGGAGGGAATCAACGATTTTTTCGGAACCCCATAAATCTTAACCCAAAACATGACCTGCAATGACTTGTCCTTGGTCCAACTGATGTAGTGCAAACTAGATCGATTGCTATCTGTGGACAATATACTCCGAGCACAATCTATCTACCTTCAGAGTGTTTTTAGTTAGAGGGAGGGAGGGAAAGTTCAAATCTCTTGTTTAGTTAGAAAGAGAGGGGAAGAGAGAGAAGAGGTGGAGTCAATCTTTTCAGAGCCATCATTTTGCATCCATCTATCTATGATGGGATCCATACAATCCACCCACTAAAGATTTAAAAAGATTATTTTATCTTTTAAAAACTTTATTTGAATTTGATAAAAAAAAAAAATAATCTAGTGATTAAACATATATTTATACATCCATCATTTTAACTCTCTCCCTTCTAATAAATAATATAAAAGAGTATTATAATCATCTTTATCCATCACTTTCCTCGTCTTTTTAACTCCCTCCTCTCCATCCCTCTTACCAATCGAAGCCTTAAGACTTCCTTGACAAAACATTATCCCTAGACCAAAATCTGGCCAAATATAGCTCATATGATATTCTCAAAAAATTTACACCATGAAATTTGATTCAATTAAAATTTTTCTATCTGCTCTATATTTTAGAAAATTGCGTCATGTACATATAACTTATCTTTGAGAACAAGCCTATTTTCATGACATTCTATATTAAGGTACATTAAATTTGAAGTTTTCTTGAATATTAGCATTTATTTTATCCTGTTCAAAGGCTGGGAAGCAAAACGTGATTCATAAGCCTTTTTTCTTTTTGGCCGAGAAAATATCTTCTACTCACATTATATTTTCTTATCCCACCACAAAAAAATTTAGGTCTTATTTTTATTTTGCTGAAGAGGTTTATAGTTGGATTTAAGCTTTAAATAAGAATTAACACATGCAAATCTACTAATTTGATGTCCATTCGTTTCATGGATTTAAGTGGGTTTGAACCCATTATCTGATTTAAACTCATATTTGGTTGTTAAAAGTTTAAACATAGACTTCGGTTAGGAGCCCTTGGAAGCTCAAACTTTTGGGTTTCGGAGAACTTAACCGCCTCTTAAGGGAAATTTTTATGCTGCCGGGCTGCTTTTACATGACAACGTGTCAGAGAGCAGGAGATGACACGTGGCATAAAAAGAATTGAAGTTTTTTTTTTTTTTTTTTTTTTCAGAGAGGAGGGGATGACACGTGGAATAAAAAGAATTGAATTTTTTTTTTTTTTTTTTTTTTTTCTGAGCAAAGAATTGAAGTTAAAGGGCAACCGGTTGAATAGGTCATGAAGGTAATTAATGGAGAAAGAAATTAGAGGCCTACAAATTGTATGCTCCTTAGGCTCCTTATCATGTAAATTTGTGCGAATTGAGTCGAAGTATACAAATTATTATGAGCTCAACTTAAAAATTGCCCTAATCATCCCGGACCAGATATTTAGTGAGTTAAAATATAAAAAATAATACTATAAATTATCTTTTTTGGGTTAGATTGAGATGAGATGGGTTGAGTTTGTAAGTTATTTGGGTTTATGTATTGTCTTACCTACAATGGTTTAACTTACTGAACGATCGATAAAATAAAAAATGTGATTAAGGAAATTCTTTTAGCCCCCGTTTATTTTATCAATTCGAGTTTTGTTACAGTAAAAAATTCTCAGAAACAGTCACATCTAATCTTTTTGCTATAATAAAAAGTCAATTCGAGTTTTGTTACAGTAAAAAATTCTCAGAAACAGTCACATCTATTCTTTTTGCTATAATAAAAAACTCTCATATAAAATCACATCTCAATTCAAATTAAAAATTCAAATCAATGAACTAAATGAGCTCTTAGTGTACCCAGCCAAGTTTTAAAACTCATTCCTTTGTGTTCTTGGACATTGGTTGTGTGTATGAATGTGAGAAGCCTAGAGCCATGATTCTGGCATCGTTTATTTCATTGATTCGAGTTTTCAATTTTAAGTTTTTACAGTAAAAAACTTTAAAAAAATATTACATCTAATTTTTTCTACTACAATGAAAAATTTTAAAAAAATATCACATTTGAGCTCGAATTGAAAACTCAAATTCACGAAGTGAACGAGGCTAATGATATAATGATAAAGATCACACGTCCTACAAAGACGATCGCATGATAAATGAGCATCATTGACAACATATTTTTAAACATTTAAAAAATTATAAATAAAAAACACTCTCTCTGTGCTCTCTCTCCAAACTCTCTCTCCTCAAACTCTCTCTCCTCTCTCTTTTTGAGAAGCCCAGAACTGAGAAACCAAAATAATTCCAAACTCACAGCCATTGCCGGTCTTATTCCACGGGCCGAACTCGGCTGAAACAAAGACCACAGACATCCCATGTATATACATATAATTTGGAGTTTTAATTGTCAAATTAAGTGGATCTGTATTTGGCAATTTTGGGTCTTAATTACGTGCTGGTTGATCTTGATTTTTTAGGCAGCCAGATTGAGTCAACAAGAAAGCCATGACCATCCAGGTACTCTCTACAAGCAATTCCACTCAAGTTTTTTTTTATTAAAAAAACCCCAAAAAAATTGAACAAAAATGGATCAAACCCACTAAACAAAAACTGGAAAAATAGATGCTCATATTCACGGGAGGTCCAGAAAACTCTTCTTCCGTAATCTTCAACGGACCCCGATTTACACCCAAATTGAGAAAGAAATCAACGATTTTGAAACTTGCCCAGTTGTTAATTTAAGCAAAGGAAGTGTTTATGACAAGAAAAAGATTCCAACTTTTTACAGATAGGAGGGGGTTGGTGGAGTGTGTTTGGTATTTTTATTAGTTGGTAATTTATTGGTAATCATGTAAAAATTTAAAAAATAGGTTCAAGAAAATTTCGTATTGTAGAAGAAGATTTAGAATCAGATTTGAAGTTAAAGTTACAGATTTTGTTGCGTTTAGTTTTAAAGAGATAAGGATAAAGGCTGGTCAAAGGAAGATAAGCTATTGGTTGAGATTTAGAGAGATAAAGAGATAAATACCCTGATCAAAAGAAGATAAGACATTGGTTATTTGAATTTAAATGAGATTCTAAAAAGAGATAATGTGGAGATTAAGTTACTATTTTAAAGGAGTAATTCAGATTTGAAAAGTAGATGTATAATTTGAATATGCATTGGTTTGTTTCAATTTGGTAATTACGAGATACACTTTAAATGCATCATCTTGAGATATATATACATATATATATTTGTGTGTGAATGATTTTGATGGGCATTGACGTGGAGATGACTAAGAGTATATAAATGCCAAAAAGATGATGATGAAGTCAACATGAAGATAAAGATGTTGGTATATATAATATTTGAATCGGATTTGGATAAGGGGTGTATAATCCGGATTCAAAAGGAGATTTAGTTTTTAGTTTGAATTTAAAAAAATGCTCAACGTGGAGAGAACATTTAAGGTTTCATGCAGCTGATAATGGTGGAGAGGTTTTATAGAATATTTTCAAAAAAGAGTCTGTGAGTTTTTTTTTTTTTTTTTTTTTTTTTTTTTTTTTTGTGAGCCTTGTGCGTTATTGAGATCGTCCTTCGGGAGAGGGATTTGTTGCTTTCGGGAGGAAGCTTTGTCGGTCGAAGGGAGTTCACCGTGCAGTTTAGAAGACGTGTGGTGTACGCTAAACAAAGTCATTGTGCGATTTCATCACAGCGGCGTCATAGTCTAGGAGGGAGTCATTGAGTGAATAAGTCCGTAAGTGTTGTAATTCTTAAAGTATAGTGAAACTGTTTATTGTTTGGGCATGGCCCCGCAGAGTAGGTGTGCGCACCGAACTGCGATACCATATTGTGTGTTCTTTTGATTTCTGCACTTTATTCTACTCGAACAATTTGAACAGTAAGAAATCCAGATCTTAATTAATTAAGTCATCTTCCAGACAATGTTCCAACATCATCTGGAACATCGGACGTAACATCAGATCTAACAAGTGGTATCAGAGAGGCTAACTGACCATAAGTTCGGTGAGATCTTGGAGAATTGATCTGTTATGTTTGGAATGGATTTTTTGAAGGAAGAAGGTTCAGTTGTACGTCCCCCTCTGCTCGATGGTTCGAATTATTCATATTGGAAGGCTCGGATGAAGGCTTTCATAAAGGCTTAAGATGAAAGAGCATGGCGTGTAATCCTGATCAGATGGAAGCATCCAGAAACAAAGGATGCAGAAGGAAAGGAGATTCTCAAGCCTGAAGAGTCATGGAGCACTGATGAAGACAGGTTGGCAAACTACAACTCAAGTGCGCTCAATGCAATATTCAATGGAGTGGATGTTCACCAGTTCAAAATGATATCTACATGTGAATCGACAAAAGAAGCATGAGAGATTCTAGAGGTGGCTCATGAAGGAACAACCGCGGTCAGACAATCAAAATTGAATATACTCACAACCAGGTTCGAAACTCTTCGAATTCATGAAACTGAAACTATTTCTAAATTTAATTCATGGTTGTGTGATATAGCTAATGAATCATTTGCTATTGGTGAAAAAATTCCTGAGGTAAAACTTGTCAGTAAGACGTTGAGATCATTACCACAGAGATTTGCCTACAAAGTCACTGCCATTGAAGAGGCGAAAGATACTGAAACTATGAGACTTGATGAATTGATGGGATCATTGATGACATTTGAAATGAATCTGAGTCAAAATAAGAAGGAGACAGAGATTTCTCAGGGGATTGCTTTCCAAGCCAAAGTGGAAGATAATGTTGAAGAAGAAGATGAGGACTTAACGGAGTCTCTTACTCGATTGACTAAAAATTTCAACAGGGTGATGAAGAAGTTCAACGAGAAGAACCAAACTCCAACTTTCAACAACTCCAACAATTTTCAGAAATATAAGGGAGCTACAAATTCCTCCAATGATAAGAAGAAGAATATGAGAATTCAATGCCGGGAGTGCGACAGTTATGGTCACATTCAGTCTGAGTGTGCTAACACTCTCAAAAAGAGGAAGAAGTCTCTCAACGTCACATGGAGTGATGAGGATTCTGAAGGCAACTAGGAAGATGATGATCATGTGAACAACTATGTTGCGTTCAAGGTCTACCAAGATGTTTCAAACTACAGTGTTACAGATCGTGTCACAGCTCATGTTGCAACATCATCTGCAACACACTCTGGAAAACCAGATGAAAACGGAGATTTTTCAAATTCTGACGGTTCCAGCAATGGCGAAGAACTGACTGAGGAGATAATCCAGGAGGCATATGAAACCATGTTCAACAAATGAGTTTTGGTGGTTAAAATGAATAAGTCTTTGCGGGAACGAGTCGATGAGCTTATTAAAGAGAAGGATGTACTTAAGAGGGCTGCTATAAACTATGAATTTCAGGCTGTTGAAAAGGAGAAAAAGTTGCAGGAGACAAGAGCTGAATTGGAGCACACTCAAAAGTCATTGAAGATGATGAATTCAGGCACCTCAAAATTGGATAACATTCTCTTAATAGGAAAAGTGAGTAGTGATCGACATGGCCTTAGCTATATTGGTGAGAGCTCAATGTCCAAAACAATGTTTGTGAAGAAGACGCCTACCCCTAAGCCTCCGAATTCCTCCAGTAAGAAGGTTACTATCTCATCCCCTCGACATAGAATGTTTGTCCCTACATGTCATTACTACGGTATACCTGGCCACATAAGACCGAGATGCTACAAGTATTTAAATGCTTTGAAGAGAGGTATGCTCATTAATCCACCAAATTTTGCAAACTCAAAAAGGACACCTAACGTGAAGATTAATGTGGAAAATAATTTGTCTAGATGTGTGTAGGTAAGAAAATCTAATTTGAGGTGTCATAAGGCTTATACTTCTTTAAAAACATGTACTAATGATCATGGATGTAGTGATGGAAGTTGCACTAAGACATGTGTTAAGAGCATTATATATGGAAGAATGCTACATTCAGGGGGAGAAAGACACATAGAAGATTCATGGGGAGTAAGCTATAAAGATCAATGCCCTTAAAGATATCTAGTACGAAGTGTTGCACTAAGTGTTCCAACAAATGTGAATTTTTTGTTTTTTATTTTTTTCTCGTTGTGTCTTTGGCTTATTTTTGTCAAAAAGGGGGAGAACAATGTACTTCTTTACGTTTTTGAATTTTTGGGATCTTTTGTTAGTTTTGCCAAAAAATGTCAAAGGGGGAGATTGTTAGGTATTTTTATTAGTTGGCAATTTATTGGCAATCGTGTAAGAATTTAAAAAATAGGTTCAAGAAGATTTCGTATTACAGAAGAAGATTCAGAATCAAATTTGAAGTTAAAGTTGCACATTTTGTTGCGTCGAGTTTTGAAGAGATAAGGATAAAGGCTTGGTCAAAGGAAGATAAGATATTGGTTGAGATTTGGAGAGATAAAGAGATAATACCCTGGCCAAAGGAAGATAAGGCATTGGTTATTCGAATTTAAATGGTATTCTAGAAAGAGATAATGTGGAGATTAAGTTGCTATTTTAAACGAGTAATTCAGATTTGAAAAGTAGATGTATAATCCGAATATGCATTGGTTTGTTTCAATTTGGTAACTACGAGATACACTTCAAAGGCATCATCTTTGGATATATATATATATATATATGTATATATTTGTGCGTGAATGATTTTGATGGGCATTGACGTGGAGATAGCTAAAAGTATATAAATGCCAAAAAGATGATGATGAAGTCAACGTGAAGATAAAGATGTTGGTATATATAATATTTGAATCGGATTTGGATAAGGGGTGTATAATCCGGATTCAAAAGGAGATTTAGTTTTTAGTTTGAATTTAAAAAAATGCTCAACGTGGAGAGAACATGGAGGAAGCTTTATTTAAGGTTTCATTGCAGCTGATAATGGTGGAGAGATTTTATAGAATATTTTCAGAAAAGAGTCTGTGAGTTTTTTTTGTGAGCCTTATGCGTTATTGAGATCGTCCTTCGGGAGATGGATTTGTTACTTTTGGGAGGAAGCTTTGTCGGTCGAAGGGAGTTCGCCATGCAGTTTAGAAGACGTGTGGTGCATGCTAAACAGAGTCATTGTGCGATTTCATCATAGCGGCGTCATAGTCTAGAAGGGAGTCCTTGAGTGAATAAGTCCGTCAGTGTTGTAATTCTTGAAGTATAGTGAAACTGTTTATTGTCTGGGCGTGGCCCCGCAGAGTAGGTGTGCGCACCGAACTGCGATACCATATTGTGTGTTCTTTTAATTTCTGCACTTTATTCTACTCGAACAATTTGAACAGTAAGAAATCCGGATCTTAATTAATTAAGTTATCTTCTAGACAATGTTCCAACATCATCTGGTACATCGGACGTAACATCATATCTAACAGAGTGCAAGGGGGAAGGGCCGACATGGTTGTCCCGGGCGGCGTCGTGGGCTGCTCGAGTTTTGGACCAGGGGTGGAGCGTTGAAGAATTTCATTTGAGTTGTTGGGTTTGTTTCTTCAAATCTTCATATACGTTAAGATCATCTTGACACTCTTATTTACTTGGTT